TAAATCGTGGAATAATTCCCTTGGGCGCGGAAGGGGTCCCCCTATCCCTATCAAACGATTCATTAGCTTTATGCACGCGAGAGCATAAACATGTCGCTTGCCCATTATTTATTCGAATTGTCTTAACCCCCGTGCGTACGATTACGCCTCCTCCTTCCCTCCCCCCCAGTCGTTCGAGAAGCACGTGATCACGACCGTGTACGCGACCGAATCGAATGCAGATTCTTTTATCTCGCGAGATTTGAAGGAGAAAAGATCTCTCTTTCAGGAGATTTTTTTTCCTTTTCTTTTCTTTTCTTTTGTAATTTGGAAATTTCGTTCGACGAGTAAAAGAGAGTGAAAGAGGTTGGATTTGGATTTGGATGAGGGATAAATCGATCATCCGGGGATTTGTTCGATTCTCAAGCGTAAAATTCTGAGATGTGAAATTGGTAAAAACTTGAGCGATAAATAACGTTAAGCGTGAGGCTTAATGTTTTGAAAAAAAGATTTCGTGACTTTCATAGATAGTTGGTGGATTTTTCTCCGCTTGAAAAATGAAAAAAAAAAAGAAAAAGTAGCGCGAATTTCCGGCCAGAAAGAGAGAGAGAGAGAAAGAGAGAGATTCGCCCTTAAGTTACGGTCTTAAGTCGTGCTATCTGCACGAGCGGAAACCCCTGGCCAGAAATTCCAGTCTAAGCCGATAATTTATCCCAACCACCCACGCACTTGTCTTATGCGCGTGCCACCGTGCCACCTTTTGCTCGCCAACACCTCGCGAAGGTTAAAAAGAGACGGAAGACGAGGGACAAAATCAATATTCTTTACCGATCACCTTTACGAAATTATGTATTTCCATACGAGAGAATTTCTTTTTTACTCATTATTCAAGTTTGCAAATTCGATTATAAATTTAGAAATTTATCTTATCAATATTATTTATTATTGTAAAATTCCAGAAACTTTCCAATGAAACAATTTTTACAATCTATAATTTCCAACGTGTATCTATCTCGATTTATTTTAATATTTTAACTAAATAAACCGAATCATATTATCGAATCGATCGACTAATCATTATTGGATTGTACATATAGATCGTCTCGAGATGTAAAGATATAAAAATTACCGCGATTCTGTTCTAAATATATATTCTCTTCTCTCGAAATCTCTTAATGTTTCTCTCGAACGGGATCGAGATCCCCCCATTCCCCTTCCATCCGTGATCTCGCGGCATAACCGAACAAAATTATTAATTCCAGCAATGGGAACGGCCCGATTAAAGCCGAAATTTATCCCACCGCCCACGCGACACCTTGAAACGCGATCGGTAATCCCCGATTTATCGCTGGTGTCCACCTTCTTACTTTTTCACCTCCCTTCTTTATTTCCTTCTCCTACTTTTTTTTCACGAATCGATCCCTTTTCATCCTTGACGTTAATTTTTTCGAAGATGAGAAAAGAAGGGAGACTGACTATTATAACGTTATGAATTTTTCGCGAAATTGAAATAGTGAAAATTGTATTTACATACGAAATGGAAGAATCTTCTATAAATCTAGAATGGAAATGAACAAAAATGATCAATCGATAAAATTGTTTCACAAAAATATTCACCACTGCTCTTGAATTTGCTCTTTGATCTTCACATTTTTCTCAAGAGGAAAAAAAAAAGAAATTATCGAACAACGTCCCATTTCCATCGTTCCCTTGTTTGTCTTCCTCGACACCTGTCTCACGCAAGAGAGACAAAAAACGCCTTTCCACAATATACCTTTAATCGAACCGAGCCTCGATCGGCTTTCGATCCACGACCTTTCGTCGATCGACAATATGCCGATGATTAACCGAACTCGACTCGATCCTTTTTTTTTCCCCCACCGAGATTAATATCGCGGCTCCGATCCGTAAGCTTATCGATCATCGTCGCCGAACGACGGAAACGAACGGCGGAAAGAATGGCCGTGGCCAACGAGCCGCTCGTTGCCTGAAGAACCGATGACGAAGGAAACGTCGCGCGAAAGAAACGCGGGGATGATTGGCGGGGAGATTTATGACCGGCAAGAGAAGAATTCACGATTATTAATCGCGATTTTGTAACCGGCCGTCCCCTTCCTTCGTCGCCTTCCTCGTCGACGCGAGTCGAATCCTTCGTCGAGGGATGCATCAGTATGGGGACAGAAGTAGTATTTTCCAAGAAGAATTCTTCCTTTTGGAAGAATCGTCGAAGATTTCGATATTTTTCTTTTCTTCTTCGATTAAATAAGCTAGGAATTTTTCCAAATTCTGAATTCTCTATCCACAGAAAGGACTTTTCCAAATTTATCGTTATATTTACCGCAATATCCGTTTTTAAAATTCTTCCTGATCCTGAAAATTTTTCAATTCTATACTTACACGCGATCGCGCGCCACGGAACCAATTCAACTTTGAATTTCCTTTCGAAAGGAAAGGAAAAGATTCTTCGCCTACAATTCGATCGTACACGTTACGCAAATATTAAATATTCTCCCATCTTGAAATATTCCTTGGATTCGAAAGAATTCGTTTTAATTTCGTGTAACAAACTATCCTATATTGCAGGGATGGCCGGCAGTATGGGTCAAGCTGGAATGGGCTCGTACTATGGGCCTGCAGCGGCTTACGGCTCGTTGTCAGCAGCCAGCATGGCCGCGGCCGCGGCCGCGGCTGCACAGCAATCCGCGGCGGCGATGTCGGCTGGCCTAGCGGCACCTGCTCAGGTGAGTCGATGCATCTCGTAAACAAACGCCTGTTTCGCGCCATGGAACCAGTTTACCCTGTTTCCCTGACGTTATTCGAGCGCGACCGAGCCTCTTATCTTTCGCGCTAGAAATTTCAATCGAGGGAATTTCGGGATAAATTTTATCAATCGAAAAATTCATGCATTCGTGATTCACACGTCGAAGCGTTTGGAGCGAATGGGTCTGATATTCGAAGAGAAATTTCGTTTTTCGAGAGTTTAAAACATATTTTCGATCGAAGAATTTTATCAACCGTGAAATCGTGCGTATTAGATGATCTTGGAAGGAAGATTTTCTTTTTCTTGAACGGGTGCCAGTGATGCAAGAGCGTGTAAAAGGAAATGTGCAAGGATTGCGACAAGCGACGGTTGCGTGGAATGTTAATTGCGAATCGGTAAGGCAAAGGGAGTGCTTGGTCACAGATTGGTGACCGAATTCGATGCACGTTGCACGTTTGTTCGGGGAAACGAGGTGTGCCTCGTTACGTAATCGAAACGCAACGTGTTATTACCGTTGTTATTCCGTGGTAAATGGGAGAGAAAAGTGTTGTTTCCACCGTGAAAATTTTTCTGCCAACTTGAACGATTCATATTTCTATGGACTTCTTCGTTTATCTATTCATTTATTTATTTATTTTATCTTTTTATTTTATTTTATTTTATTTATTTCATTTTTTTTTCTTTTTCACTCGTTTAACATTGTATCTAATATTTCAAAAATTGGAAAGTAAATTTTATCTCTTTTATAAATTAAAAGAGAGGGAAAAGAAGTAACTTTTTTGATCGTAACGATTTTTGAGTTCCGAAAAATTTTGAAGGTGAAAAGAGAAAAGAGGGACGATATAGATAATAGATATTTAGAGTTAGAAGGGGAGCATCGGCGATTACGATTTGTCAGAGACGAAAAATGCGCGAGACACGGTCGCAGGGAGCGTTATCGAGATGCCGGCGGAAAAGAGCCACCCACGCGGTTATTTCTTGCGCGTCCCTATTCAATAGAATTTGACGTGGAGAGACTCGATCGGGGAATCTCGAGATTTATCGCCGCATTCACGCGTGTCCCTTACCTCGGCAAACAAGCGAAATTCTATTAATCGTTTCGAAACGTATATCTCATCGCTCGCCAAGGATAAATTCGATATTATTATTCCACGTTTCGTTATTTTCAAAATACCGACACACTTTTATTCGTATCTCGACTATTCTAACTTTCAACTCGTCGCCTCCAATTACCACCTATTAATAGATTCGCGCGATAAAATAATACGTTCAAATTTACCCAATAAAATTCTTCGATTTTAAACATAATTCCCATTCGTTAATTATGATCTTCGATTATTGATAAAATTTTCAAATTTCCTGGAATATCTTTAAAATCTCATTCAATGAATATCTCAAATTCGGAATAATCCCTCTTCTCAACAAACAACATAGCTCCCCTACCACTACCAAAAAAAGTCGTCAAAGAAAATCGTCAATTTCCAAACTTTGACCGTGATCCTTCGATCTCTCGAGGCAAAGAGAAAAAGAAAAAGAACGATCGAGGCAACGACGAATCGAGAAAAAACGTAGCGCGAGGGGGATCTCCTCCCCGCTAAAAGGGAAGATAGGATAGATCGTTGATGAGAGAGGCGACGGTTTGGCGAGCGCGGGAAGAGGAGAAAGAAGAGGAGGAGGAGGAGGAGGACGAGGCGGAGGACGAGAGCGTAGTAGGTACGTTTCATTCGTTGTCGCAACAAAAGGGGCCCCCGGGTGGCTTCGCAAACAGAAACCGGAGACCGTGGTCTGTGTATGAATTTCCGCAGCTGGGTACGGGAGACAAACAGATAGCTAGTTATTTCTGCATTCAACGGCTGAATGGCCGACGCGTCTGGAACGACGCAGCGCCGCGATACAGACCGACTATTATTGGCGAACCGGCGAGCACGAGCGAAGAATTCCAACGCGCGCCGCAACCGGCCCCCGA